TATATATTAATAGATAACTAGGAGGGGGAAACCCCCTCCCATTGAGCTTTAAAACCAGCCCCCTTGGAACGGTCGGCGTAAACAGCAACAAGGTTGAATGGATTTTGCGCTCTCCAGCCAGTTCAACATTGCAGCCCTCTAGAGCACTGCATCACCTGTATCCTACATAAAGAAGAACCAAAACCAAGAAAAAAGCATAAAAAAGACAAAATGAAAGAAAAAACGTAAGAAAAATCACATCAAAGAATAAGAGAAGAAAAGGAGGAGGAAGTAGGGGAGAAAAGAAAAGTAATAGGGGAAGAAAATTAAAAGAAAGAAGAAAAACAGAAGAAGAAAAGGAGAAGAAGAAGAAAAAGAGAAGAGAGAAAATGGAGAAAGGGAAAGAAAGTAGATAAGTAAAGAGTAAGTATTTTTATTTAAATTTGTTTTTTTGTATTTTTTTAATTAATCGACTTCTAACTAGTGTGATTGGTTTCAATACTTGTATGAGGAGAAGTATGGTGAGATTTTAAAAAATAAATAAATATTTTCAAGGCATTTGATTCAAAGAAGTAAATTATTAAGTGGGTAAAATGTATAAATTTTAATAGAAGAGTCAATTTTTTTTAATCTTTTGCATTTATATATATGCATAAATTAGATTGATAATTGTTGAAAATTTTTCATATTAGGAATTCATTTTTGCATCTTACAACTCATGCAATAATAATCACATAATTTTCTTAATATAAACACACAAGAAGATGCATTTTAATTATACAAACATTTTATCACTTAGAGACACTGTTAACTTGAAACAGCTCATATTTATAGCTTTCTCATTTGCATATAGAGTTATTCAACAAATTTAAAAAAAAAAATCACGAGTTTATATAAGTGTTCATTGAGGAATATATGTTGAGCATCAGAAATATCATGTCATCGGCATAAGGCTAACAAATGATATATTTATGATACCTACACATTTGAGATTAAAGGATATGCAATTGAGGCAAAAGGATCATTAATATAATTCAATAGGGATAATGTTAGGTCTTACCTTAGCTCCATTAAAGTTGATAATGTAATCTCTGAGTTAAGTTTATATCATATGTTATATAGTGTGGGTTTTCAATGCATTATCTTTTAATGATCAATAAACACAACCAATCGTATAAGAAACATTCTAAAGCAAAATAAATCAATACAAAAATAATATTTAGTCAAATGAACGATTGAGGTAATAAAATCAATCTCTAGGTAAATAGATATTTGGCTGACACAAATTTATTTTGAACAATATATATAAAATCGCGTTGATTTCTCCATGGCATTCTAATGTAAATTTTTATGTATTTACAATTAAATTTTAACAATCATAATAATGTGTTAATCATATATACAACATTTTACGATTATGTTCATTCCTGATCTACACACGTATAGCCTTTTTTTCAGTATTTGAGTTATATATTAGATTTATTTCTCTTGTTGAGCCTAATAACTCATTATAATGTTATAAGTATATTTATAGAACTAAGAAAAAAAAAAGACTCAATAGAATATATATAATTTTATAATTATATTTCACTATGTTGTTAATATAATATAAGAAAATTTTAAGGTTAGACATCAGATGAAGTTTATGTTTTTTGTTAAGAAATTTCACTATGTTTTCAATGCTCCATATATTATACTTACATAAAATATTTTAAATTACATCCGCTTGATTTAAATTATTTGATTTTTTATGTGTAATTCCGACAGAATTTAGACGATTGAGTTTATCTTTCACTCTAGCTTGATGCGTCTAATGCTATAAATGATATATTAAAAGTATATTTAGTTAGCCTAATCACACCCACCTTTATTACATCACACGTCAATTTGGTTGTCGTAGGCCATGATAATCAAATCGCTATATAATCAACTAAAAATCACTAGGTTCTATGAAATCATGCACAGTGATAATGTTTGTAAAAATGCATTAAAGTTCACGAAAGAGAATGTGGTAGAGTGTTGAAACTAGGGCGTGAATATGCACGAAAGCATAAGTAAGGAGCTGCAAAAGTATGTCATGATATAGCAACAAAGCTGTTCAATCTCAAAACCAAGTGTGATTTCAAGAGAATGGCTAAATACATGTAAGAAAATATTATGGATGAAAATATAAGAAATGTGTAAGCACTTGTGCGATAAGCAAATAGGCTACATTCTCTCACTGCTAATTTTTGAGAGAATAATCACTTTGAAAACTATCACCAAGTACATTATACTTAAGAACAATAACAGCTACAACAAGCTTTTATCGCACTAAGTGAATCTTTTTTTCTCCATTATATCTTATTGAGTGTCATATTTTCATTTAATTCTCATAGATTGATATTATTTTAATACAACAAGCCTAAGCCTTTTTAGATTTCTCTCTATCTTTCTTACCATAAGTCAAATTTAAAACATCTAATCTCTTGCCTCTACCTTTCTTATCATTTTTTATTCAAAAACCACTCCATGTTATAACCTGGCCCAAAAGTTTAGAATTATCAAAGCAAGAACAGACAATTAGAATGCAAAAAAAAAATTTAACTAACATTAATGAGAATTTACAAACACATATCTCAAATCACAAAATAGCTAAATAAATTTAGAAGCTATGTTAAAAAATTCTCCATCAAATATATTAAACTTAACACTTTTTTCAAATGCGATTGATGCATAAATTTAATTACAATACCAATCTTTTGTTGTCCCTCGTTGACAATAAATAAATTATCTTTTATCATTCATTTAATTTAAAAAGGATTTAACAGAAAAATATTCAACTATTTCGTGAGTTAAATAAATTAGGGACTAAATATATTTTTAAAAGTATAGTAATACAAGTTTAAAAATCAATATGCATGTCAATTTTAATTTTTAAATCAAAAATATTTTTTATTCATAAATGCATTTGTATCAAACTATTTTTCGTTTATTTTTATCATTTTTTAATTCTTTATAAAATACATTTGTCATAGAAGCTTGTTCTAAAATATATTTTTAAGATACAAACATCCCAATAATTATTTCTAGATCTACCTATAAGAATAGAAAATCGTTTCATGGAGTACAAGCATCCATAGCTAGTATCACAAAATGATGACTCCATGAAACATGCACATTCAAAATATTTTTACTCAATATATTTTCATGTAACATGCACATTCAAAATATTTTTACTCAATATATTTTTTCATTTCTCTCATATGATAATTAATATAAATTTTCATATAAAATACTCATTAGCATTTTAAATGTGTAAATTATATATGTCGATATGTACACGTTGTGCAAACAAATGTGGAAGTCATTTTAACAAATACTTTTGTGGGGTAATAATATTACAAAACATATAAGTAAATGAGTTAAATCAATCAAAGCACCAAAATTTAGAGAAACCAACTTCATTGCTGAAGAATTATATATATTTACTCACTTTATTCTGAAGAGTAGCCTCTTTCTCTCTTTGGAAGTCACTTTCTTTGATGAAATACCTACAATGCAGTACACATGATTAATATACAAAAATAACTTACTTTTTTGTTTATTAAATTTATTTAATATGTCTTTCCCGCTTCCAAGTTAATTGTTATGTTTCTTCACCTTTCTAACTTAGCCATTTACTAGTACATTTTTTAAACTAATTTTATGCGCTCTATTTCAAATCTTATTACTTATGCTCAACTTAAAATTAAATTTAATTAGCTTAATGTAAATTTTTATATTTACCTTCTCTTCTTATTAAATTTTAAACTAATTAATACAAATAAGCCTCGTTATTTCTGTATTTTAAGGAAATTGCTTATCTTCTTTATTTAGAATAAAGCCTAATTTGATAGAAATTCTCTTGTTTCTTTTCCTCTCACATCAAACGTTAACATAGTTATTTTTCACTTAGATTTATATATATTTATAACAGTTAAATTTAAGATTCCTAGTTTTCTTAAAACATATAGTTACAATTTAAATCAATCTAATGGAATCATGGCTCTACTAGTGCTGAAATTATTTTCATAATACAAATTTATAAGCTTTTAAATTTATTACTTACCACTTCTTTAATTCATAAAATAATATGCATTTGAAAATGAAACATAATCCAAACTAAAATTTTTTGAATTTAAACGAATTCCCGCATTTCAGATTTATGAAATAACGTTGGGATTATATACATAAAACAATGCCATTTTCTTTTCTTTTGTGAGCATTCCAAAATTTCAAGCCAGACAAAACATAGGATTTTCCTTAAATATAAAAATGATTTGACTTGACGGCTTTATAAGATAAAAATAGTAACTGAAATTCACCTCTGGGCTTAAATTAGAATTACAGTTTAGAAACTGAATGGGAAAACCTAACAGAAATCTGTCTTGCGCGATAACAGGGAAGAAAATTTATGGATTTCGGCGTGGAAAATTATACCTAAAACGACTTTTGGTCACGCACGGTTTCTAGCGCGCACGCGGATGCTCCGCTCGTTCGCGACTTCCTCGCGCGATCGCACGATCGTGTTCTTTCGCTGCTTCGATCGCGCGCACCTGCTTGGTTTCTTGTTCGCTTCTCCCTCCCACTTCTTAATAGCCGTGCTAACTGCCTAATAGGTCGGATTTTTTTTTTTTTTCCTTACACCTGTTTAATAGGTGTCATTAGATTATGTAGTTGTTTTTTCTTTTTTTAAGATATATTTAAATGAAATTATAAATATTTATTATATTAATTTGTTTTTATAATGTTAATCAATAATAATTATTATTATTATTATTATATTTTTTTATGGAAAATATAAATATTTTCAAAGTTATACTAAAAGAGTTTGCATTAAAATTTAATTTTTTATGCCAGGTGTCTTATTATAAATATTAGCATGTATTAAGGATAATTCGACATGGGTGAATTCAATAACATTTACCCCCACAATACTCTAATGTCATTCGTGGATATTGCTCTTACCTCCTTTAAGATCGGGTTTTTTGTGCTAATGATATCGGAGTTAACCCAAACCACAACCAAACAATAAAATTTATTGCTTAATTCAAAAGTAATAATGACGAATTATCAACATAAAATAACATGAACATGTAAACAGCAAGTAACGATGATGACGCTGTAAAATAAGAAAGAATGCATCTCAAAGCACATAAATGACTCTCTAAAGGAGGGAGGCAAGCCTGGGAGGAAAGGATGTGACGTTGGTGTTGGAGGGTGGATAACAACATGTGGCAAGGCGCGGGATGGCGACCTGCTAGGAGGAGGCTGGCAGCAAGTGGTTGCAACGTAAAAGGGAGTAAGAGGTAGTGGGGACTGAACAGCCGTGGGAAACGTCGGTGGGGGACTGGATAGCAGCAAGAACAAGCCCTGGAGAGTCTGGAATCAACAAGGATAGGCCCCAGGGGGCTGGCAGTAACAGGAACATGACCGGAAGGCCAGTGCGGCTGTTGGAATGATACTAGAAGCACGAACAACAACAAGAAGAGGGGCTGGAAGGGTTGTGCAATGGTTGAAAGGAGCCTGGAGGGTTGGACGACAGCGAAATACAGGAAGGTTGTGTCGTACGGGAGATGGCAGCGAGTATATGGAGAGGAATATAAAAGGATAACTATCCCTGCAGGATTGAGTTAAAACTGGAGCACCCCTCAAACCATTGTAGAAGATCACCACCTCGGATGAGTTACAGTCAGAGCACCTCCTCACCTTCGGATACAACCCTAGAAGGGAAAACAACCTCGACGGTTGGCTTGGACAAAAATCTCAAAAAATCTAGAAGACAAAAAATAACATAGTTATAATAGGTGTTAGTAGTTAAAATATGAAGGAAATAAAAAAAGGCAGGAAATATAAGAGGAAGGAATAAAAATAGGAAAGGGAATATTCTCTCCCTTTGGGCGATAAGTCCCTCAGGCCGAGAAACTACAATACTATAGCAGCTGAAGTATCGTGTTCCGGTAAGCACCTAGGTCAATCTCCCTAGAATTGGGGGAGCTTCTACTTAATTTGTCAAAGCTTCGGGGTCCTCAAAGTATAAATTCAAGTCGATGACATTGAATGCAGCGAAAAACTTGCAACCTCTTGCCTAGTTCATCTTGAAGATGTTGTCATTCCACAATATGTCTTAATATAATAAACATCCATTCTTTTTTGGCACATTATGAGCTGAAGATGTATATAGATGTCGGTTTTCACATTGTAACTCTTGAGCTCGTAATTCTAAAACCATCTTCATCCACTTATAATACTCGAGAGAATATAGCTGATGAATAAATGTGTGAGTAGAAATCAACTCTGGGATGAAATTTGTAATTGGTTGCACCAATCTCACTATAAACCATTCAGAGGAGACATCTTCTTCTTCTTCATTGATAGGACCTAGATCCCATTGAAGAATTTTCTTCCTCTGCAAGCTTCTAAGATAAATTTCAAAATCAGATTTCATCCCTCCTGTCTAGACTTCTAATGATGGGTATCTTGTTGAACTAAATCTAACATCTAAAAACTTTGTGTAATCTTCTCGACGTAGCATAAAAGGGCCCCCTTTTTAATGTGTTGGACCTCCCTCGGTAGGGCCAACTCAAGAATGAGTCTATAGATCTGAATGGTTTGAATTTCTCTTATTTGGGGTTGTCATGCCTCTATTCTCAGTTTCTCAAACTCAAGATTACATTGAACACTCAACGTCAATTCACTTGGAGTTTCTCATATGGGCTCAGTTGGAATTATGTGCATCTTTTCCTCCTCAGTTGGAAACTGGACCTTCTCCGGTGTGTCATTATCCAATTTTTCAAGAACGTCAAACTTAGTGAAATAGATCACCTTCTGTTAGTGCATTCAGATTCAACATACCCAAATCCATGGTACTTGCAACACTTTTTGTTTGGGAAAGATTTAGGAATGCAAATTGGTTTCACCTGTTCTCCACAATGACTCAGGTTTCCCTCTGAAGGGTTCAACTTGGATGTTCTTTTATACCTTAAGGTGGAGTGCTGGTTTAAGACATGATGGCAACTCAGTGATGTGGTCCCTCCCGAACCTTTTATTTATAGGAAGCTGGTAGAAACTAGCATTAGATCTCTTACTTCACCTTCGAATTTTCTTGTTCTTCTTACAATGGCTCTTCTTCAGGTTTCTTCTGAAACTAGATTCCAAAACATCGTGGTCGGTCTTCCACATCACAAAATTCCTCACTATGGGATGGATTCAAACACTCATCTCTTGCTCCCCTTCAATTTTCTAGATTTTGGTCGAGGGTGATCTTTCCCTGGGTTTCATACTCAATATCTACAAGCCTCCACCAAAGTCAACGGATCACTCGTTGTATCTTGTCCTGGTAGACTCGTGCATGTATCTCCTTAGTGGCATGGCTAGGGTTTGGAGTGGGAGGTGAAAGAGAGTGTATGAGCCTAATTGATGGTGTGGGAAATTTAATTTGGGGTTATTGATTTTGAAAATCAGCAAAGGGAATTTAAGGTTAGATCAAATTTGGCAATGATTTGGTGGTCGATAAGATTTTTTGTTTTTTTTTTTGGTAGAGGTGTCTTATGTAGGGGTGAATGCTTTTGGTAGAGGTGTCTTATGTAGGGGTGAATGCTAGGAAACTATAGCATAGGAATAGGGTTGGATTAGCTCTGATACCAAATGATATCAAAGTTAACCCAAAGCGCGACCAAACGACAAATTTTATTGTTGAACTTAAAAGTGACAACAATGAATTTTCAACATAAACAACACAAACATGTAAAAAGCAAGTAATGATGATGATGATGCAAAATAAGAAAAAAATATAACACAAAAAACACAAAATGTCTCCCCATATGAGGGCAACAGGACCGGGAGGGAAGGAAGCAACGACGGTGCTAGAGGGTGGATAATAATAGGTGGCAGCGGTGATGGATGGTGCAGGAGAGCTGATAGCAAGTAGTTGTGGTGTATAAGGGATTAGAAGAGGTGGCAGGGGACTGAACAACTGCAGATAGTGTTGGTGGGGGACTGAACAATAATAGGGACTTTTGACTAGGACTTGAGAGCAATAGGAACATGCCTTAGAGGGGCTGATGACAGCAAAAACTAGCCCAAAAGGGCTGGCGATAGCAAAGACAAGGGTTGGGGGGTTTGCGGTAACAGAAACAAGACTGAAAGGCTGGTGTGGCTACTGGAAGGTGATTGGAAGCATAGATAATAGGAAGAAGAGTGTGCTAGAAGGTCTGTGCAATGGTTAGAAGAAGCCTGTAGGGTTAGACGGCTGCAAAATACAGAAAAGTTGGGGCATATGGGAGATGACATCGATCAGGGGGAGGCAAATATGGAAGGATAACTATCTCTATTGAATCGAGTTACAGTAGGGAACCCTCAAACCGATTGAGAAGACCATCATCTGGACAAGTTGTAGCCGGAGCACCTCCTACTTTTGGGTACAACCCTATAAGGGAAAACATCCCTGACGGCTGGCTTGGACAAAAATATGAAAATCTGAAAGAAGAACTGAACCATAAGATAACAAACAACATATTTATAATAGATACTAATAGTTAGAATTAGAAGGAAATAAAATTAGAAAGGGAATAAAAAAGGCAATGAATAGAAGATGAAGAAATAGAAATAGAAAAGGAATAGAAATAAGCAAGGACTAAAACTAGGAAAGGAAGGTATGTGACAAATTTGGAAAAAAAATATCCTTTCCATTCATGCCTTGCTTATTTAACAACAAATTTAATAACTTAAAAACCAAAAAGCTCTTCAAGAAACAAACCCTCAAAGAGAATCCGAACCCCATGGCCACTAGATGACTCAAGAGGTTGAATGAGTTGAGGAGTCTCCATATAAGGATAGTGTTGGGTTTACACAAATGGTTCAGACCATAAGAGGGCAAATGGAAATCTACTGCTTGGTGGAGAATGCATTCTCTCTACTTATCAACAATTTTGAGCCACCCTCAGAAGTCCAAGGTTCCATCATTGGAATCATACAAGGTCAGAGTGGTATGAACAATCACATTGCATCATTTAAATCAGCTATATGCCCGCTCAAAATTTCCTACGCATTGAAGTGTTGATTGTTCTATACCACACTGAGAGATTAAGCCCTCGTGTGGTTTAATGACCTCCCGACATGAAATATTATTTTGTTCACAAAGTTTCAGAAATTGTTCACATGGTAGTTTGTTAGTGCCTAAAAGCCCCACAAGGACTCACAGGCCTTTTGTTGGAAGTATGAATGCCCCATCCCACGATTATGTTTGTTAAAGCGGATTCGCCACCCATGGGGAATCTGTACAATGACGCTTTAATGGTTACGATGATGATTAATGTTATCAAGTAGTTAGTATTTTAGTTGATATGGGCAACTCGAGAAAAATATTGTTCAAATCAGCCATTGAAAAAATGCATATATCAGTTGACCATCTTGTTGCGTTGAGCGGTCTGCTAGAAGGGTTTTCCGACGAATTAAAAGAGAACCTAAGGATAATCAAGTTATCAACCTCCTGGGAAGAAGGTGATAGCCAAATCACTAACGTTAAGAACTTTCATGTGGTTGATGCACCACCCACTTACATCATATTTTTCAATTGTTCATTACTTTATAACTTATGAGTCTTGGTCTCCATTTACCACGCGATG